ACACTCACACACACACACACTCTCACACACACACACACACACTCAAGTAAAACAAACAAAACATTTTTAATAAATTATTGGCCAAAAAGTGCAAGAACGCTGAATTTTTAGTGCATGAATAAATCGAGTACACTGGATTTGTTTGAAATGTATTTGAACTAACAGCTTCTGAGAGTCTAAAATGGTCATTTTTGAGACTTGAAAAGAAATAAAAATTAGAAGTCACGGAAATATAGTAATTTCTAGTTATTCTCACCTCCAAAAGGCTGAAATTGTTAAAAATGTACTACATTTATCAAAAACAAATTGTAATGAATATTATAGTGTGTTGTTATTATAAACATCTTTGAGGAACGCATTGCAGTAAATGCACAGCAGAATGCTTGTGTAAGACCCGAGAGTCAGACTGCAGAGGTTGGCCAAAAAGTGCAAGAACGCTGAATTTTTAGTGCATGAATAAATCGAGTACACTGGATTTGTTTGAAATGTATTTGAACTAACAGCTTCTGAGAGTCTAAAATGGTCATTTTTGAGACTTGAAAAGAAATAAAAATTAGAAGTCACGGAAATATAGTAATTTCTAGTTATTCTCACCTCCAAAAGGCTGAAATTGTAAAAAATGTACTACATTTATCAAAAACAAATTGTAATGAATATTATAGTGTGTTGTTATTATAAACATCTTTGAGGAACGCATTGCAGTAAATGCACAGCAGAATGCTTGTGTAAGACCCGAGAGTCAGACTGCAGAAGAGAAGGGCTGTAAATGCAAATGTTCGAGCACTAATGTGAGATAATCCAGTGAAGTACGCTGCGTTACGAGCGTCTGAGACGTTAGAGGCACATCTGCAGCACGAGCTGGAGGATTTGAATACGAATGCAGCCCGTGGAGTCAGAGCACAGCTGCGCCGCAGGACAGGCCGCTCGCAACGCTCTCGCTGGAAGCTCAAACTGACATGCTGGAGACAGAGCAGCTGTCAGAGACGCCTGTCTGCACACGGACCAGACCCTCAGCTCACTGACTATATGAGGGCAAGAAAACAACATTTAACAGAAGAACCCACCATAAACACACACACACACACACACATGCAGTCTATACAAGCAATCCAGATGAATGCACAACTGAATTAAGAACTAAAATCATCTGCACATGATCAGCCATTACGACACATTTCACATATTTGGGCTGCAAATTGAAGGAAAATGCATTTCTGTGTCATGAGTCAGGTGGAACATCCTTATCAAACACCGGCACTCTGCTAGACGAGAATAAAAGAATCAAATATATGTATTTGTGACCCTGGAGCACAAAACCAGTCATAAGGGTCAATTTTGTGAAATTGAGATGTATGCATCATCTGAAAGCTGGATAAATAAGCTTTCCATTGATGTATGGTTTGTTAGGATCGGACAATATTTGAAAATCTGGAATCTGAGGGTGCAAAAAAATCTAAATATTGAGAAAATCATCTTTAAAGTTGTTCAAATGAAGTTCTTAGCAATGCATATTACTAATCAAACATTAAGTTCTGATATATTTACAGTAGGACATTTACAAAATATCTTCAAGGAACATGATCTTTACTTAATATCCTAATGATTTTTGGCATAAAAGAGAAATGTATAATTGTGACCCATACAATGTATTGTTGGCTATTGCTACAAATATCCCCCAGCGACTCAACACTGCTTTTTTTTATCAATACATTAAAACCTTTAATTTTCATCATCATCAATTTTATTTATTTTTTTTCCACATGAAATAATACTGATAACAGAAGTCATTAAAAATAATAAATATAAACATTAAAAGAGCACCTCATTAAAAGTAGTTTAGTTAGACGTAGATGTTAATTAGTGCTTGTAGTTTGCAAACAAACTGCAAATGCTGTTTTATTTGGTGTTGCATTTTTATGAAAAATTATTTGAGCATTAAAAATATTTGTGTGTGCGTGTGTGTGTGTGAGTGTGCGTGTGAGTGTGTGTGCGTGTGCGTGTGTGTGTGAGTGTGTGTGTGTGAGTGTGTGTGTGTGTGTGAGTGTGTGTGTGTGCGTGTGTGTGTGCGTGTGTGTGAGTGTGTGTGTGTGTGTGAGTGTGTGTGTGTGTGAGTGTGTGTGTGTGCGTGTGTGTGTGCGTGTGTGTGAGTGTGTGTGTGTGTGTGAGTGTGTGTGTGTGTGAGTGTGTGTGTGTGCGTGTGTGTGTGCGTGTGTGTGAGTGTGTGTGTGTGTGTGAGTGTGTGTGTGTGTGAGTGTGTGTGTGTGCGTGTGTGTGTGCGTGTGTGTGAGTGTGTGTGTGTGTGTGAGTGTGTGTGTGTGTGAGTGTGTGTGTGTGCGTGTGTGTGTGCGTGTGTGTGAGTGTGTGTGTGTGTGTGAGTGTGTGTGTGTGTGAGTGTGTGTGTGTGCGTGTGTGTGTGCGTGTGTGTGAGTGTGTGTGTGTGTGTGAGTGTGTGTGTGTGTGAGTGTGTGTGTGTGCGTGTGTGTGTGCGTGTGTGTGAGTGTGTGTGTGTGTGTGAGTGTGTGTGTGTGTGAGTGTGTGTGTGTGCGTGTGTGTGTGCGTGTGTGTGAGTGTGTGTGTGTGTGTGAGTGTGTGTGTGTGTGAGTGTGTGTGTGTGCGTGTGTGTGTGCGTGTGTGTGAGTGTGTGTGTGTGTGTGAGTGTGTGTGTGTGTGAGTGTGTGTGTGTGCGTGTGTGTGTGCGTGTGTGTGAGTGTGTGTGTGTGTGTGAGTGTGTGTGTGTGTGAGTGTGTGTGTGTGCGTGTGTGTGTGCGTGTGTGTGAGTGTGTGTGTGTGTGTGAGTGTGTGTGTGTGTGAGTGTGTGTGTGTGCGTGTGTGTGTGCGTGTGTGTGAGTGTGTGTGTGTGTGTGAGTGTGTGTGTGTGTGAGTGTGTGTGTGTGCGTGTGTGTGTGCGTGTGTGTGAGTGTGTGTGTGTGTGTGAGTGTGTGTGTGTGTGAGTGTGTGTGTGTGCGTGTGTGTGTGCGTGTGTGTGAGTGTGTGTGTGTGTGTGAGTGTGTGTGTGTGTGAGTGTGTGTGTGTGCGTGTGTGTGTGCGTGTGTGTGAGTGTGTGTGTGTGTGTGAGTGTGTGTGTGTGAGTGTGTGTTTATGTGTGTGTGAGTGTGTGTGTGAGTGTGTGTGCGTGAGTGTGTGTGAGTGTGTGTTTATGTGTGTGTTTATGTGTATGTGTGTGTGGAGCTCTTTGATAGTTTACTTAATGTCCCCCCTCGTTCCCCCCTCGTCTGGGGCCCGTTATCTCCTGCTCGTCTGAGTCCCTCTGATGTGTCGTTGATAACATCTGTCCTCCTCTATATAAAGCCAGAGCCGGCTGAGCTCCTGCATCACTCACCTCCACGCCTCCGTCAGGATCATGCATACGTCCCTGCTGCTCCTCCTCGCTCTCGGGGCCCACGCCGGGGCCTTCGACCTGGGCCAGACCACACGCTGCGTCCCCATCCCGCTCCAGATGAGTGTCTGCCAGGACGTGCCGTACTCGGAGATGCGTCTGCCTAACCTGCTGGGCCACAGCAGTCTGGAGGAAGCGGTTCCTCGCTCGGACGACTGGAGGACGCTGCTTCACACCGGCTGCCACCCACAGGCCCGGGCCTTCGTCTGCTCGCTCGTCGCTCCCGTCTGCCTCGACAGGTATGTGCACAGAGCACCGAGACCAGGGACTGGAGAGATCTGAGAGTTCTTGGTCTAAGCTCAGTGTGGTTGCATCCGCAGGTTCATCCAGCCGTGTCAGAGCGTGTGTGTGGCCGTGAAGGAGAGCTGCGCTCCCGTGTTGGCCTGTCACGGACACGCCTGGCCCGAGGCCCTGAGCTGCGACCGGTTCCCCGCGCAGGACGACACGTGTCTGACGCCGCTGCCCAAACACATCAGCGCCTTCTCCAAAGGTGAGACACTCATTCACATGCATAGACGGACAGACAGACAGAATCAAATAAAATAGAAAATTAAATTACATTATTTATTTCATGCTAAAATAATAGATACTGACACCAAATGCTGTTGACATTTTCTAGAACATAAACAATATTAATTTACTAAATAACATGTCATGAAAAATAATGTTTGTTGCATAAAAAATACATTTAGAAATTTAGAGAAAAGCTTTGACTAAATTGCAGGAAATTGTGGTGAATTTTTAACCAAGATCTTTATTGATATTAGATACATTTTAAATGTATTAAATTATGAATGTACTAAAAATAATGTTTGCA